GGTAGTCCACCTCTCTGATGGCTTTGGCGTGGAAGAGTTTACTGACCTCCTTGTTAATTGCCTTCTGGCGTTCCGGAGCAAAACTTCTCTGCTTTTTGTTTAACAGGTTTACAAATGGGATTCACGCTTAGCTTGTGTGTGATGATTGAGGGGTCAATGCCTTCCATGTCCTCTTGTTTCCAAGCGAACACCCCCATCTTCTTCCTCAGGAACTAGGTGAATAGGTCTTTCATTTCTTTGCTCAACTTAGATCCTACGTAAATAATATGTTCAGGTTCCTCATCAAGCTGGACTGCTCTTCTGACAGTATAGGCCTGATGTCCAGCTCATCCCTCATGTCAAGCTCATCTAACTGGATAGTTTCAACCTCTTTCTACTTCACCAAGGCCATGTAGCACTCCCTGGCTATTCGCTGGTCTCCTCGGATCATTCCAACTCCATTTTCTATAGGAAATTTTACGACCAGGTGATATGCTGAGGGGATAGCCTTCATTGCGTTGAGGGATGGTCTCCCAAGTAGTATATTGTATGCAGAAGGGACGTCAACTATCAAAAATTGCACAGTGGTGCTGGCTTGACAAGGAGGGTCCCCCACAGTGAGCACGAGTTGGATGGATCCCAGGGATAACACCTCTCTCCTGAGAACCCTTTCAAGTGAGCATTCACTGGCTCAAGCTTCTCCATTCCTACACCCATTTTGTCAAAGGTAGAGGCAAAAATGATGTCGGCCGAGCTCTCATTGTCAATTAGAACTCGATGAACAGTTTGGTTTACCACAGTGGCCCTTACGACCAATGGGTCATCATGGGGATACTGACAGCCTTCCAAGTCTGAATCCGAGAAAGTGATGGTTGTGCTCAGCCGAGGCATTTTGGATATGGTGTGTACTTCCAGCACTTCTCCAGCTCTGATTCTGCGCAGGTGTGCTTTCTTGGCTGCACTGGATTCTCCATTGCCAGCAAATCCTCTAGATATCACTCTGATCTCCCCTAAGGGTTGCTGGTGCTACACAGGGCTTGTTGATGGGGGTGTCGGTGGTGGCGGAGCCCTGTCCTAGTTGTCATGGGTGATAAATCGTCGCAACTGTCCTCTCTAGATCAAAAACTCGATCTCCTTCTTTAGCTGGATGCACTCGTCGGTATGATGGCCATGATCCCTATGATACTCACAATATTTCGTAGGGTCTCTTTTAGACGGATCTACCTTTATTCGTGGAGGTCACCTTAGGAATTTCTCGTTCTGCACCTCGTATAGGATCTGGGATACTGTTGAGAGGGATATATTGCTGAGGTGTATACCTCGGCTGTAGTTCAGGCTGCGGGGGGCCTAAGCGGTCCCTAACGTTCCCCCTTCTTTTTGGGGATCGCTCTTTGTATCTTCTGGGAGATCTATCTCTCTTTGGAGATCTGTTTCTTTCCCTTTCTCTCCTGGGACTTTGGTTTCTCGTTTTCTCTTCCTTTCCCTTATCTCTTTGCGCGGAAGAGCTCCCTACCTTAGAAAGAAGAGCTTCTTCGTCGTTTATGTATTTCTCTGCTTTGGCAAGCACCTCGGCCATGCTTGCTTGGGGATTTTTTGATATGGAGAACATCAAATCTTTAGACTGCACCCCTAGACCAGCTATGAAGGCAGTGATGGTGAACTTTTCGTCTGGGACATCCACCTTTAACGACTCTGAATTAAATCTTTGGACATACGACTTGAGGACATTTTTCTTTGGTCCCTGTTTGACATTCAAAAGGTGATAACTCGGCTTTCTATAGGTTTGAGCCCCTATGAAGTGGGATACAAAGGAAATGGAAAGCTCTTTGAAGGAAGAGATTGAGGCTGGGGGGAGCCTGTTAAACCACGCCAAGGCTGAACCCTACAAAGTGATGGCAAAAGGCTCGACAGCGTCCGGGATCCTGATACCCGTGTTATTCCATCTGGTTCTTATAAGTATTGAAGTGGTCCAAGGGGTCCCTGGTTCCATCAAAAGACTTTATCTGAATCATCCTAAACTGTGGTGAGAGGGAAAAATGCAACACCCCAAGCGTGAATGGAGATTCAGTCTGCCGCACCAAGGCATCCATTGTAATTGGAGCTTTACTCCTGACCGCTTCCTTTATGTGGCTGAGCTCTTGCTGGATGCCCTTGAAGCGTTGCTCCCAATATTGCTCCTTTCTCTCCTGCTAATAAGGGAAGACATCATTCTTTTCACCTTCAAGGTTTTGACTTTGTACTTCTTCATTGTGGCCGTTCCTAGGGGTAGTTGGGGAACTTGTCCTAAGGTCTGGCTGTTCTCCCCCCTTTCGTTGTCTTCTCTGAGTGGATCAAGGTGTTGTTGGTTCTTGTAGTGGGGACTGTTCTGATCTTCTTGGGCTGGACGTGCCTCCTGTAGGCGCTACAAGAGCTTCAAGAGCTCCTCATTTTGCTTTATCAAGTGCTGATTGACGAGTAGAGCCTCCATCTCGTTATTTGTGGGGGGATTCCCCATGGGAGGATCAGTCTCTAGGACGTTCTCGAGTGGTCTACTATTGGTGGCTCCCTGTTGGTCCTGTATCCGAGATGGGTTTGTTTGGCTTTTGTTCATGTTTTGCATTGACACCATCAGTCACTGAAAAGATCAACTTATTTGTAACAGGAACAGTCGTTCCCACAGACGGCGCCAAACTGATGGCGTAAATCAACGTGGATGAGCTTAAGGTACAAGTAATGTGAGATGAGCGTGGATCAGAGCTACGAGGCTCGTGTATGATGTTATCATAAAATATTGAGGGGATTAAGGGGTGTACATAGTGAAAATATAGTGGTTCACCGGCTCAGGAGCTCGGCTAGTCCACTCTTCAATGGAGATTCTTGCTCCTTTCTTCTCTATTGATTAGTTGAATGTAACACTAGACAATACTAAACTGATTAGGTTTTTTCTTCTTTTTTTCCTCTCTTTGGTGATGAGGCATTGCGTAGTTTTTATAAGCCTGCCCCTATTTCGTGGGATTTCGGCCTAGATCTTTGCCCATTATTCATGTGATCCTCCTTAATTTTAGGAGAGAATCTTGGTTGGTTGAGAGTTTCACGCATGGGGCCTAATTTTCGTTGTCATCCAGCTGTTTCTTGGTCGGTTCAGCTACAATCTCCCCAGGGGAACCCCATCCCTAGTTCTCTGAGTTCCTCGTGTCTTTCCTGACCTCTTGACCTGACCTCACAGCTACGGTTTGTTTGAGGTATCATCAAGTTTCATGTAAAAATTAAGGTTAACCCGTACTTGAAAATATAGTGCAACGTAAATTAATGTGAATGATTTTGAGAATAACGTTAGTGACCGTTAAATGAGTCTATTTGAGACCGTCATATGAGTTTATTAAAGTCTGCCCTTATATTATAAATATAATGACCAATAAATCAAACAATTTACAATTTCAATTTAATTTTACCCCACAATCAATCGAGTACAACTAAATTTTTATTCGATTCCATCTCATTGTGAACAATTCCAACATCATTTTATCAGGTAATCCAACAATTACATTCAATTTATGCCCTATTTTACCAAATAATCGAAAATTTTCGGTTCATAGAGGAGGCACACACAGAACATAGAGCAAATATTCATTGATTTTGAACATTAATTGAATATATTTATATATTGATTGAAACAATACATGATTATAATTGCAAACTAAATTGCAAGCTCGGAAAATTTGGTACGCAATATAGGTGGTGTACGGTAGGACTAACAACTGCTTCCAAAGCTCAGATACTGTTTGATTAAACCTTTTTAAACTTTTTTTTTTCTAAAAAAAAAGGAATTTCATCATAAAGACAAAAAACATAATTAACTACTATGTCATAAAAGTAATGTGTATGAATTTTATCGTAGAAATAATACACACATAGTCAATTAAGCTTGAAAGAATGGAGTAAACCCAGAGCAAAAGAAAATGTAAAACAATATATATATATATATATATATATATATATATATATATATATATATATATATATATATATATATATATATAACCATGCAAAACTGAAGCCAACTAAAAAATGTACTTTAACAAACAAAAATAAAAACAAAAGAGCGAAAAAAATCATTACCAAATGGTAGCTCAATTTTTTGATAAAACGGAACGCTAGCATAAATTATTTTTTTCTATTCAACAATTAAGGGTGTTCAGATCAATTTACGTGTATTTCGATTAATCTTCTCTCTGATTTGGTTAAATGTAGGTTATCCAGTCATAAAATAGAATATTCATGAGAGATAAATCTCATATGACTTGGCCTCAATAAGTTACCAAGATTCGAATTGAATTTATTTGATGGTTGAGTCAATATTGCGATAAAAAAGGCTTAGTCTTGACAATCAACCCCCTTATAATTTGAACTTTTTCATGATAAACCAATATCCAGCAAGTGATTGGTGAGTTGCTAAGAATTGTCATCACCGGAAAAATCTTCCATCCGTCGTGTACGTGCATGGACAACTCAGCTTAAATTCACGATAATTCTAGGAGGCAATCGAAATTCATGAGATAGCAACGAATTAGAAATGGTTGTTGGAATTATTACTTTCTCTCTTTTTAAATATACGTCGTTTTACACAATTTTTTTGTTCTATAATATCTGTCGTTTAATAAAATTAAAATATAATTAATATTTTTTCTTTCAAATTTACCCTTAATTTTTTAATGTATTAGATTAAGTAGAAGTTAAGTATCTTTCATATTTCTTTTTTTTCTAATACGTATTGAATAAGAATATTTTAGTCTTGTATAATTATTTTTTATTCATATTACAGTTATTTAATATCTTCTTTGATACCTTATTCAAAAATTTTAAACGATAGATATTTTAGAACGGAGATAGTATATATTTGATACTTTCTACTGTAATTAGGCTATATGTATTCATCGTAGACTGATGGAACACAATCATTGAGCTATAGCTCTTGTTTCCAACAATTGTTCAATTGTTCTCATAAGCCTACTGAGGGGGATCAGGAGGGGGAGAACAAGGTGATGGCGGGGGAGGTTGTCGACGACGACGACGACCAAATAGTGGCCTTCTTGCAAGCACTCCTTCAGACAGAGTTTCCACCTTCTGATCTTCTTCATACAAGACTTCATCGTTCTCTACAACCAGAGATCGTGCCAAGACGGAAATATGACTAGGATCGTCGTCTGGCGGAGTCGAGTTCGAGGGTGGATTTGGTGGTGGTGGTGACTTTTTGGTAGGACCTTTTGGTGGTTTTGCCTTAACTTTTGGTAGCGGTTGTGGTGGTGACCCTCTGGGAGGACTCTTCGGTGGTTTTCTCTTAACCTTTGGTGGTGGTGATGGTGGTGATCCTCTGGGAGGACTCTTCGGTGGTTTTGACTTCACCTTTGGTTTTGGTGGTGGAGGTGTTGGTGTTGGTGGTGGTGACCCTATGGGAGGACTCTTTGGTGGTTTCCTCTTCCTTCTGCATATGGGTGGTGGTGAGTCTGGTGACCCTCGGGGAGGACTCTTTGGTGGTTTTGACTTCACCTTTGGTGCTGGTGGTGCTGGTGGTGACCCTCCGGGAGGACTCTTTGGTGGTTTTCTCTTCAACTTTGGTACTGGTGGTGGTGGTGGTGCAGGTAGTGGTGGAGGTGGTGGTGGTGCTATGGGAGGACTCTCTGGTGGTTTCCTCTTCCTTCTCCATTTGGGTATAGATTTTTCTCCATCACTGAGCTCTTCTTCTTGATGGGCTAGGAGTGAGTTGGGGTTGAAATCAGCAAAGCTGGGGGTGGTGAGGAGAACGACCACCCCGAGGAGGAAGAGGAGAGAGTACGTAGGGCTCATTTTTGGGAGGGGTTGGCTCAAAACATGAAAGTCTGTGCCTTTTATAGGGGTTCCATGAGCCTTTTGGACATGAAAATACGAGCATTTTTTGCATTTAACCCAAATGCCCTTTTCACATTGGGGCGTGCAAATTCTATGGACTCATCGATACAAAATAGGAAAAGTAGTCGATAGTAATATGCTAATTTCGTATTAGGTAAAGTTGGTATCGGATGGATTGCTATTCTCTGTCTTGGCCTTGTCTCTCCCACTTTTCCTTTTATAAATTTCAACAATGTTTAGGGCACTCATTGATTACTTGTTTTTATTAGAGCAAATTTTATTGAATACATTATGATAAATACAACAAAGAGACATTGCTGTATTTAATTTTGGACTACATTATTTTTTTGGTGTGCAAAAGTGTCATTCAGCTTTCATCTTATGAAACTTTTAAACTATCTTTGGAGACATGGATGTCTTGAATTCAACTTATACAGCTCTCTTGATGTCATCTTTAGTTCTCCAATGATTACAATTACATGGAAAATATATACATCCATTGAACATGAATCAAGTATGCTTCTATATCGATTTAAATGAGTACATTATTGTAATTGCAAAACAAATTGGAACTTAATATATTGGAAAGTTAGAATGATGAAAAATTGAATGGATAAATAAAACACCATGTTTGATAAAGAAAAAAATAGAAATGATGTAAAAGTTGATGAATTAGTTTTTCTTATAACTCACAAAAATCAATCCCTCCAAAATTAGGAGAAAAGTAGATAAAAAATTTATTATGTGTGTTGAAATATATATTAGTTGTCTATATATCATATTTATCATATGTATATAATAATTTCATATATATATATATATATAATGGTAAAATATGTATTTATAAAAAAACAAAAAATAAATTTTTTCTATATTACCAAACAGTGAAAAATCAATCTTTCATACTTTTCATTCCTCTTACCAAATACAAAAAGAGGGAAGAAAAGATTCATCTCTTCAAGGATAAAAAATGTATGACTCTCACTTTTTATCCTTCTATTTTTCCATCTACTTTCCAAACACAAAAGATGTCGTTTCAAGTTCGTTTGGTATTTGAATCATGTGTTACAAAAATGGACTCAAGTCGCACCCATACTTGACCACAATCATGTATAACACTATATTTTGTGTAATTCACATAATTAAACCAATTTTGAGAGTTGCTGGTCTTCAATTCTAATTAACCCGGTCCATCGTGTCGAGTGAGACAGGTTTATGTCAAATCTTAACAGATTCGTCTAAAAAAATATATAATTAATACCTGATTCGTTTATTAATTTGTGTCTAACGAATTGCGTTATGTCGAATTCGTGTAGTATATAAATTGTGTATAACTGATATATAAACAAATTATGTTGTGTATTTCTTCTAATTGACTTCACTCATGTTCGATTCATTTATTAATTATGTCGTATCAGGTCCTCTCGTTTACTAAACAGTGAATTAAACAAGATTAAAATCTTTTATTTCGTGTCGTGTTAACAGATCGTATCATATTTTGATACTTTTAAATCAAATTATTGGTTGATCGTATCTATATCGGAACATTGTGCATTAATCCGTACAAAAATGCTTGTGGTCACAAAACATCAGATCCAGTACCTCAAAAAACTATACTTATGATAAATGTAAGAGTAACAATTATTTCTAGAACTTTCAACTTTTCGGGATCTGATTGGCACTCTATATCGAGCTTTTAACAATAGTAAAATTAAAGATTAAATTATTGCTAGCTCTATAAGCATGAGGATTTTATTGGAACCTAATTTGCTTATCTAGTTTTCTAATATAACACTGCTATGTCGTCAATGAGTTTAGGAAGACCCTATGATATTGGGATCCACTAGTAATTAATCCTACGAAAATAACGAATAAGGTTATGTAAGTACGCCACTATTATTATATTAATGTATCTCGGTAATTTATCAAAAATTCTCCATATATTGCAAAACTCATTATAAGAAAAATAGGCTTTTGCTTCAGAGTTTTAGCTTCAGCTTAATGCTGATGCTAATATCCTACTTTTTGCTTGCCAAATTGACCGAAGCAAAAAGTAGGATATTTGCATCAGCATTAGTGGCTTAATGCCGATGCAAATACTCACCTTTTGCGTTGCTACAATGCTGATGTAAATACTCATTTTTTTTGCATCACTATGATGTACTGATGCAAAAATGTGACATTATTCCCATTATTTTCATCTGTATTTTTGTGTCAGTATTTGTTGATGCTAATACTTTTTTGCGTCGGCAAAGTGCTAATGCTAACTTTTTGCATCACTCACTATTTATTTATTTTTTTCACCCACTATTTACTTCACCCCCTTTGCCAATACAAAAAGTCTATTTCCTGATTCAAATACTTTTTGAGTCGACAAATGGACTTTTTGCATCGGTAAATTACTGATGCAAAAAATACTTTTTCTTGTAGTGTGTCTTTCCCTTTTTTAAAATTTAAATCTCTCCTCATGCTTTTCAAAGGTAATCTTAGCTGTTTCATTCTCCATTAATATGGTAATGGTAGGAACAAAGCATTCAGGTCCCAATACAATGCCTTCGTATTACTTTTTCAACTTTCAACACTCAACCCATAAACAAGAAATGAAACAATGAATCTATAATGTAGTGTACCTTTTAGTTCCTTTTTTTTAAAATAAAAAAATAAGTAATTTCATTAAAGAAAACGTGTTTTAAATACTATTTTATCAAAATCTATCTGCTTCTTCGTATATAAGCAATATGTATATGTGTGTGTGTGTGTGCACGTAATTAAGCTTGAAGGAATAGAACAAATCTGTACAAGAAAAAATGAAAAAACAAGGTTAATATAGTAGGAACGCCCATTACCTTCGATTAGATAAAAAAACAAACACAAAAGAATACTTCAAAGAAAGTTATCAAACAATATCATTGAGTAACTTCTTAGCTACCAACCAGGATAGATATGGGTAAACAGTATGTGGACCATTAATCATTATGATCCACAAGAGCATTTGGAGATACATTCCTTTTCTGTTATGATGAAGTGCAGAAAATAGTGGAAATTAGGCATCATACATCTTAGGCACCTCTACATTAAATTCTTCATGGGTCTACCAACAGCTTATGTACTTTCATGAGCATATCATACAACTTTACCACACTGAAAAAAATTTCTAACTCTCAAATTTACTGACTATGATTTCGCTTAAAATTTATACCTACATTGATTTTTTAGCCAACAATTTTCTTCTCCAAACACTACAAGAAATTTTATTTAGCGTCAAGTTTTGGCGACGAACAGAAAAATTTTGTTGTTAAAAAGTGATTTCCGACGATAATTTCCGAAGTGATATTCGCTTGCCCTTCACTTTCTAGGGTTATGGTTTGATGGGCCGGTCGATCTATCTCTCCTTACTAACCAAAACAAAACAAAAACAGTTAGGTTGTTTTGGGAGATGGCTCATTTAATCTAAGGAACCAGATACGGACAAAGATATGCGGCTAAAAGGTGGTTGGTTAAGTTGTCGGTTACTTTTTTTTAAGTGTTTATTTAATTTTTCATATTTCATTTACACTTGATAAATGATAAACATGGCAGACAACCTAACCAACCACCAATCTCTTGCCAACATAGTGGTGCTTATAAACTAGATTAGAATAATAGTGTGTTGTCGGTGTGGGATGAAGCTCATTAGGTAAGCCAGGCCTCTAAAAGAAGCAACATAGAAACCACAATAATGAACAACCCTACTCTTTGGAGTGTCTTAGAGGGCGTGAAAACTCAATCGTTAATGGATATTGCATTTCCACATTTCCGACGAAAGATGATAAGTTTGATACAATCTATTAATGGAGTTATTGATTTGAAGAGCTAAGGATCACAAAAACTGATAGAGTTAGGATTAGGCAAGTCAATAAATTATCGATTGAGGATAAATTAGTTATATTGAATTGTTGTGAAGATTATGTTATTTGAAGATCTACTTGTTTCAATGGTATAGCTGAAAATTAAGTAGCAAAAGAAACTTATTATCATCTACAAACTCAAGCTTCACTCATAGTATGATGCATTTGTTAAGTTTATGTATTCAAGGATCTCTTTACAACCATTCACTGTCATCAAAGGAACCACACAAATTTATCCGTGGGGGATATAATGCACAATGTTGGGTGGACATCAATTTTGTATATATGGACTCATCGACACAAAATAGGAAAAATAGTCAATACTAATTTGCTAATTTCGTATTAGGTAAAGTAGGTATATTGTTATTCTCTGTCTTGGCCTTGTCTCTTCCACTTTTTCTTTTATAAATTTCAACAATGTTTAGGGCACTCATTGCTTCGATGTTTTTATTAGAGCAAATGTCATTGAATACATTATGATAAAAACAACAAAGAGACAATGAACATTTATTTTTGGACTACATTATGATCTATTTTTGGTTTGCAAAACTCTCATACAGCTTTCATGTTATGAAACTTTTAAACTATCTTTGGAGACATGGATGTCTTGAATTCAACTTATGCAGCTCTCTTGATTTCATCTTTAGTTCTCCAATGATTACGATTACATGGAAAATATATGCATCCATTGAACATGAATCAAGTATGCTTCTATATTGATTCAAATGAGTACTGATGAGCCCGAATTTGACTGGGTCAAGCTCAATCTAAGTAAGCCGAAAAAGCCCGAAGAAAATTTCAATCAGAGCCAAATCAACCCAGGAGTTCAAATCAAGTGAGCCCCTCGTAAATCAACTAGGAGTCAGGCGGCGCCCAAGCCATAGGGCCAACGCCTAAGAGGTGGACGTCTAGGAGGCCAGCACGTAAGAGGCCAACGTCCAAAGCACCAAGAGCCAACGTCCAAAGCACCAAG